GTTGGTTTATGTTTAGTCAACAATGGCATGCCAATTGGAAGAGTTGGTGGAAAGAGTTGGTGGGGATGCTAGGGGGAAGCTTCCTCCTTTGATGTCACCCATGACATCAAGAGGAGGTAGTTTGATGTCACCAATGACATCAAGAGGAGNCACTCCTTCACTTGTAGAAATCATCCCAAAATAATACAATACATTGTAGTGAGTAGAGAGTTAAGAGAGAAATTCTCTTAAGTGTAATTGGGAAATCTCCCCTTCCTTTGTTAATATTAAAAAGGGCAATTGTTCTCTGGTGGACGTAGGATTATTTTGATCCGAACCACATTAAATCTTGTGTTCTTTCTTTTACGTTTCCGCTAACACTTTTTGATCAGGAGATATCAGATATAACTACTTAATCTTATCTCCTTCACGTGCATCCCTTATGCTCGAATCCGCCCGTGTCTGTGTACACTATGTATGGACCTGGTTCATGCTTGAGTTCCTTTGTCAATCATCAAAACAAACTTCACTTGGGCCAACAAATTTCCATTTTTTTATGATGACAAACTTTGTGCTTTTCATAAGCATAAGCCCTGTTTCAACTCAGCTCCGCATCAACACAAAGCTAGAACACTTTTCATTTTATAGTCACTAATCATTAAGGGCCAGGTTCATTAGGTTATAAATATCACAGTCCAGTAAAAAGCACAACCTATCTCCCCCCTTTTGGCATCATCGAACAGTTGCATAACCCTTCCCTTATCTTGGCGCTTTTTGCGCTTTTCACCCTCGAAACACACAATAGTATCGGGCAGTGTTATCAAAGGCGCGCTTAAAGTATGCTTAAACCCTGAAGCGAGGCTCAAAACACGTTGAGCGCTTCGCCTAGCATAACAGGTGCTTTAGTATTGTAATCAAGGCTCTAAGGCATGCTTTTCCTTGCCAATGAGCGTAATCCTAAAGAGGCAATACTAAACAATTGATATTTCACTTTATTCTAAACTTTCTTCAATTTTTTTGTCCATATATTTGGTTTTCATGCTTATAGATATTAGTCTTGGACTACACATACATATTTTTAGTTTTTCTCCATTTGCGCCTTTCTTCATTAAAGCCCACGTTTTATTTGCACTTTGCGCTTGTGAGAAGGCCCGGGAGAAAATATGATATATTGATATTGTGTGTGATGCAATACAAGAGGTGCTATTTATAGCTACTCTATACAAAGGGGATACTACTCCTATTCCAATGTGGGACAATTACATAGCTATCTCTAACA